AGCAAAAATAACTTTCCAACTTCATAGCAGCCTTTGTATTTAGATTCATGTGATTTTTTTAAAATGTTTACCTCAGTTTGTGTTATTTTTATTGAAGTGTTCTTTCAGGCTCCACCAAAGGGGGGTCTCAGGGAAATAAATTGTGTGATTGAGTAGGTATGGTTCCTATATAGTTTGTATGGTTGAGGTTAGGAGACTATAATTATAGTTAGGTTTGAAGAACTCTGAAACTTAATACATAGGAAAGTCAAGTAGGGTTCAACTTTATGTAGATGATGCCTGACTCTTTGCATCCAAAAAGTTGTCAGTCAGACTGATTTTGATTTCCATGGTAACCTGAAGTAGATACTTGCTAACTATTATCAACTACATTAAAGTACATGATGGAGAAAGGCTGGTAAGGGTCAACAATTTCCCGATTCTCTAGGATATGTTTTAGGTAAACTATCAGGACCAGAATAAAATGCTATTCCTGACATATTCCTATATGAATGTTATTTACAAGGATACTGGACCTAACATCAAAAGTTAGCCAAGGATTTATTAAAAGACTGAAAACAAAAATATTTTAGTTTGTAATCTTCTCTTTCGCTCAGTAATGTTACTAGTCTGATTTTGTTGATCAGCCAGTGTGGCTACATTTAAAAGACATTGCCATAAGACTCTACTGACTAGGATTATTAGACTCAAGCTTTTTCTTCTTATTATCTACATTTGAGCCATTATCAGCTGTATTAAGTTTAAACAATAGGCTGCTGTTTAGTGTGTGGTTTATCTGCAGCTGACCTACGCCACACTAATACTCTCAGCAGAAATCATCATGGTATGCTTTACTGGCCCCTGCTGGGACGCATTGATTTGTGCTGTGTCTGGGATGCTGGGATGCATTCCTGTCTGCCTGTCATTGGTCAGTCAGGGATTGACCCACCATCCTTTGACCAGTGACAGATGATTCCTTCAGGCTATGCAAACCTGGGATAAGATAAAAAACAAGTCAACCCATCACTGCTCTATGTTATTTTAAATGTCTTCTCTCTTCTTTTGTAACTATGTTGTTAACTTGTATCTGTTCTTTGTAATCCTGAAATGTTCTCTCAGTCTTTCTGCACTTTATTGAAAACATGAGCGAGTAATCTTTCATTAGGACGAGACATCACAGAGTGCATGCATGCAGGCCCTGGAGGGGGCTTTAAGTAACAGGCAGGCATCCTGAAAACATTCTTTTCTGCTAATAAAGTCCTCGTAAATTGAAACCACTTGCTAACCCTAACCCAAAAATAAGTCAGGAATGTGACTTCTCAGCTGAAACAGTTTCTCCAAGAATTCAAACGAATAAAGTATGTCAATACAATTTAAAACATCCAATTGGCATTGAGGGACACAACTATAAAGAAATTAGATTTAAACATCTAGGAATAAACATTTGTAAAATGATATCCACATGAGGTTGTATTTTTTCTCTTTTTCCATCCCCCTCTTCCTTCATTCTCCTTGACACATTGCTGACACAGCACAGCCCAAGTGTAAACCCTGAAGGCCCATAATGCCCACTCCCTCTCCACCTCTCCATGTACTCTACAAGTATATAGGTTTGCCCTGAATAAACTTCCAGTATGGAGGCAGGAAGTGGCTCAGCAACTTCTCAGGTTTGGATACACTCTCAGTGGAATAATAGACCTCTTGTGGAAAGCAGATGTCAAAATGAGTCAAGGACCTCATTCCTCTCCACACTGAAGACAAACAAGAAGCAGGTCAACCAATTTCTCTGCCAGTACACAAGAATGTGTGGAAGCTGGGGATGGATGACAAACAGAAGGAAAAGTTCAGGATTTTTGGAATTTACGAGTACAAAATGTTTTGCTGAGATTGACACATTTATCTATTTGTTTGCCTCTGATGTGGAAGTGGCAGATGAAGCAACAGAGTCCCCTATACTGTGCTAGAATGACATATTTGCCTTTATATCAATGCTATGTGTAGTCAAACGGAATGACAAACGGAGAATAACATACTGGCAAACAGAAAACACAATGCAGTCATTTAATAACGTGCACCGAGATCGTAGTGGTCGCTTGCAGACAGTCATAGTATATAAACGTCACTCTCCCTCCTATTGGCTCGAGGTGAGAATATTCCACTGAGTTCCCACATCAGCCCACTCGGACTTGCTGAGAAAAAAAAAAACTAGGAGTCTAGCAGGAGGAACTGCGGGTAAAGTCCGAGTGAAACATTTGGCTGTTTGCGTTCACATACACAGCTCCTCTGGGAAATATCAGTCGTTTTTCAAGAGATTTCTGCTACTATTTGTTTAAAAGAAACCCTTGATAAATGAGCGAAATGCAACATATGCAAACACTTCCATGTGGGGGACACTGGCCCAACACGTTATATGGCAAGGCATATTTTTGTATTTGAGAATTTGAATGGAGGTTTGGATTGGGTTATGCAGCAAGAGATGTGTACATGTATGAATTGTGATGACACACAATGTGGACCTCTACTACACCCACACCTCCTGACATACATCTGCTGAGTGCTTGGAAGACACATATCCACTGAAACACCTCTTAAATCATTCAATACACCAAAAATCATTGGTGTCGACCTGCCCCCCCCATCCAGGACTTATACCAGTCCCGGGCCAGGAAACGGGCAGGTAGTATCACTGCAGACTCCTCACACCCTGGACACAAACTTTTCAAACTCCTCCCCTCTGGCAGGCGTTACAGAACACTGTACGCAAAAACAACCCGCCATAAGAACAGTTTCTTCCCCCAGGTTGTCACTCTGATGAACGCTAAACAGTCACAGAGTGTCAGACCTGCCGCGGTGAAATTACTCCAAACCAACCGTCACTGTGAATATACGTATATGTATATATAATTTAATTTAAATTATCAATATACGCACACTTATTTATGTAAATACTGTTATTGACATCTTAATTGACCCATCTGTCACATGCATTTTTGTGCATTGCACTGCATTTTACTTATCATGTTACTTCAGCATCTTTTGCACTATTCATCACTGCACTGTTTCATGTTTAGTCATGTAAATATTAGTCTTATTATGTTTATTGTTGATATTTAATGTTGTACCTGTACATAAGAGAGCACAGTTCACCGAAGTTAAATTCCTTGTGTGTGTAAGCATGCCTGGCCAATAAATCTGATTCTGATTCTGATTCTGATTCTGAAACCAGAGGGATCACTGTGACCATTTCACCCCAAAGTGTTGAAACCTGAGCTTTGTTCTGGGACAGAAGCAGAGAGAGTAATGGGGAGTCAGACACTTCTACACCACACTGAAGGTTTGGCTTTCCCAGCTATGCAATCAAAGAGATGAAAATATAGAGCTGAAAGCGGCACATTACAGAGTCGAGGAATGTGTGGGACATACTGAATATAAACAAATGGTGAAGATGAGTTAGTGTATAATCTTACAATAAAGGAAGGAATCCTAGTCTGTCTTTATGTCAGCCCACTTTCTTGACAACAGCACATCTTATCAACTTCACACTTGGAAGGTGGACTGCTGATTGAATCTGACGGAATTTGCCAAGTGGAACTATGACAGTTATCCATCCTGGATTATTTAGATAAAAAAAAATGGATCGATTTAGATTTACGGAGGTTGAGATTGAGTTTCTAGCATTTAGAAAGTTCTGCTCCTCCAAATGTGTGCAGTCACCAAAAATCTGGACCTGAATGTTAAATTCCACCAAAAAAGTAGTCAGGTAACAAAGTTAAAAAGTACAATATTTATTTCAATAATGTACCTAGTCCCCCTGAGGTATCTCTATAGGGCTGAGTTTCAATTTCAATTACAATCTCAACTTCCTACAATCATGTAAACGAGATAATGAAGATAAACGATTATTGTGCAGCATGCTTTACTGTCATCGTTTGGTCCAAAGGTTTTACCATGTGTGTTGAATGTTTCAAAGTGTTTGTTGTTATATTTTCGCCGCAACAGTACATCCCCACTACCCCAATAACATAGTTAATTTATGTTAATTGATATATTTATTGTATTTTTATATATTCATATTTTTCAATCATTCATTTTAATAATTGTTTTTCTTAAGTGTTCAGAACGATAAAGTGGTATGATTGTTTAAGTTTGAAAAGTGAATGTTATCCAGATGTTGTCAAATCAATGAGTATCGCGTATAATAATCGTGATCTCAATATCAATCAAAATAATCCTCATTATAATTTTTGCCAAAATCGAGCAGCCCTTATCTCTAAATAAATCATCGATCATATATAACATAAAGTTACCTTTTTTTTTTGTTTTGTTCAAAAAAAAGTATTTCAGGACCTTCTTCGGCACTGCAGAAAGAATTCTTCAGATGAGAACGTTTTGCATATTTTGCTAAAATCTTGGAGGAAATGACTGTGGCTGTGACTTTGTCAGGGGATCTACAACAGGAATGTGTGAATGTATTATTTCTGAACCTGCTACACAGCTCAGGATCTATACCAACATCTGGCCGAAGGGTAACATTTCTATCACCTGATGAGTGAGTGAGATTATAGACTTGAATGGAAAAGAAAATTGGATGTGAGACTCAGACACAAGGGAGGAAATCAGCAGACTCATTTTCAGGCTGATTCCTTTGGTTTTAGACCAAAGTTATTATGTTCAGTTTTTTTGCTGAGTCGAAGACAAAAATTACACAGAGGGGCTGATAAGGTTGCAAAGTTATTTGATTGGTCAGGAACACCCAGGATGCTGTGGCTTTCCTTTCCTCTGTAGCTCACTTCTGTTTTAACAGAGAAACAAAAATAAAAGCTGCCGCCAAAAATAAGTTCCCGAGAAGCGAGGTGTAGCCTCCTTTTAACTTCAGAAGTTATTGTAGGAGGGTTACAGCCTTTTATTTTGAGAAAATGCAATCATTTAGAGCATTAACATCACGGGTGTCACATAAGGGATGGCTCAAAGGTGATCCTTTAAGTTCACAGCTGGAAATCAAGAAGTCATTTGAAACTTACCAAACCTCTTATAGCCAAAGGACTGCACCTCCTCCTCATCAGCAAAGTCGTCTGCAGGGAGAACACAGAAATAAACAAATTAATGCTCAAATAAAGATGGAATGAGACATAGTTATACTTTGGCTAAACAACAGAAACAAAGATGGGAATAACAGTGCGGCTGTAGTTCAGTTGGTAGAGTCGTCACCTCTCAACCGAAAGGTTGAGGGTTCAATCCCCCAGCTTAGCAATGTGTCAGATGTGTCCTTGGGCAAGACACTCAACCCTGCACTGCATTCCTTCAGTGACTGTGTATGAATGGATTAGTACTTACTATCTGATGTACATTGCTTTGGATAAAAGTGTCTGCTAAGTGAATTGTAACATTGTAATAATGACCACACAAAAATCAAAAATAAGGCAAGGTGAAATTTAAAAGTCTTTTCCACCTCTGAGGGTCTTCACAAATAGAAAGACTTTGCTGAGTGCAGTCTGCTAAAAAGCAGGTAAGCAGAGTATGCAAATGTATATTTCAAGGTTATCCAAGGTCAACAATCAAATTTTACAAGTTAACTAATCAGCAAATTCGACTATGATTCCTATCCAGTTATAGTTATAGGAAATGTCTATTTTTCAAAGCTTGTATGGCCACATGTAGCCAGGTAGCTTGTATGTGCAGAGCTTGAGTCAGAACCCTGACTTGCTATTCCTTGCTCAGCTCAATAATAATTACTCAATAATGTCAATTGTTTTCTTTTACTTTGTTTTATAACTAATATTCTGTATGACCTGAAAGCCACTGAGTGCAGCTCGTTATCTGTTGTAAATGAATTTGCCAACATCAAAGCTTTCTTTGCTTTTCATGATCCCTGTCAAGTGAAAATAAAGAATCATTGCATGTCCCAAACATCTTCAGAAAAAACTAATCCAACCATTTATTATGTATACCACTTAAGGCTGCCCATCAGTGAAGAATGGCTCCTTGTAGAGATAACAGGAAAATTAAGAACTCTTAAAGAACTGCATGTCTCTCTGAGCTCAACATGTAGTCTGGTAATGTTCAGAAAAACTGTTCCTGGGGCTTAAAGGTGAAAGAAATCCCAGATACTCTTAACATGTCTCTCATGACAGAGAGGAGAGTGAAATAAAATGTGACAATCTGAACAATTGTATAATATGTAATCACACCTTACTCCAGGAATTTGCATTTCCCAATACCCCCCCCCCCATACGGTTTCTGTTACTGAGCAACATGCTTGTGTCCCATCACAATGGAAACGTAAGTGTGATTGGATTTTTAAGAGCCATTCCGGGAAGTGGAGTTCATTACACTTCACCCAAAGGGTTAAAAAAAAACTAAGAAGACTGGAGAGGAGAACACTGAGTCCAACTTTGTGTTATTTGGAGTTTGGGGGGAATGTTGCTACATAGGGCCATTACACTGAATAAGGATTAGTCAAAATCACAGAAGCAGATCCCAGCAAGCACTTATTTGGTGAGTTTGCAAAACAATGTCATGACATTTAAACAAAACTGGACAAAACTTGATTGGAAAGCGAGTATATTTGATGTCTTTGGACAAGACAGTTGACCACTAACGTTGACATTATGCTTAAATATTTAGAGAAAAGTCACAGAGAATGAATATGCTTATAATAAATATGATATCCTGCATTCTGAGGCCATTAGTCATTGTATTTGGTATTTGTCTATAACTAACGTCAGGAACATGCCACTGACTTGGACAATCTGGGAGCAGGTTAAAATTTGACCATTGCTCAGCATTTTTGCACTACTCACCACTACACTATTGTCTTATTTGGCCTTGAATATATTATTCTTTGCTAATTTTATGTTTATATTTAATGTTATACTTTTGTACATTCAAAGCACAGTTCACCAAAGACAAATACCTTTTATGCGTAAGCATACAAGCTCATTCTGATTTCTCAAAAAAAGTCTAAGAATAAGTCTTTTTTTTTCTTGCCAAATCTCAATTGCGAGATGAGCAAATGCCGTGCACTGATGTAGGCTAGAAGCTTCCAGAAAAAACACAAGGGAGCTTTGACTCAGAAATGAACAAAGAAGCTCAACAAAGTTTTTCCATTTTTCTTGAGGTTTATCTATCCTTGGCAATCAAGCTCACAAATAACAAAGAAACCTTGATCACTGCTGCCTCTGAAGTTCTGGTAATAATAAAAACACACAACAGATCTCGCAGGTGCAAGCTGGTCCTTCAGTCGATATGCCAACATGCTGACTAGTGCTTACACAACTAAACACCATTTCTAGAAGAAGAAAACACCTTGCATGAATCTGGAATAAATCAAATACAGACACACACAAATTATATCAGCCACAACAGCCCTCTGAAATCAAACCCTTAAAGGGTGTAATGTTAAGTCTAACTCCCTCTTACTGCAGTCACAGCATTACAGTAGCTACCGGAAGTGGCTAGTGGCTTACTGTGAGCGGGATATATTCATGCCCACAATGGGGAGCTTTGTGTTATTATTCTGCAAAGTACCACAAGGTGGCAGTAGTCTAGTATTGATTATATAATGTAATAAAGACACCAGCTTTCTGTTTTGATCCTGATCCATCAAGTGTGTGAGGGTGAGAGTGACGTGCACGATACTAATTTAACCACGTCCAAAACATCAGGGAATGAAGCTTTATATAAATCACGACTTATTACTCAATGACCACAATGACTCATGCACTTTTTTGGTCTATTTTAGTTCACCAAATGTGTTAAAGGGAGTCCTACCACAATAAAGCAAGTATGAGATTTTATTAAAGCAAAGACAAACTAATGAACCAACCAAGTCCTTTATTGCAGCATGACATGGGAAATAAAATCTGTTATATATCAACAAAATTTTACATTTATTATTATTTTTTTCTTTTATGGGCTATTTAATTAGCAACACGAAATGTTTTTACAATGCTCTCTCTGTGAAGTTATTGTCATGTTTCTGTGGTACTGATGTGAATACTTGTGTTAGTGTAGCTTGTGTTTGATGTGCTGCAGCGGCCAGATGCGAAAATCCCAAACAGAGTCCCTTAATTGAAACCAGATGTTAGACGTAGTGAGTTGTAGCCCACGCATTCCTCACGTCTCACACAGAGAAAGAGGCAGAAAAGTGACAAAGAAAGTGCATGAGGTATGTTGTACCACCAAAACCTACATCAAAAAAAATCACCATTGGCTTTGCAATGTGAACTTCAGCTTTACTTATCTACGCGCCTGAGAGATCCTACCTTTCATTGTGGTGCAGGCTGCAGGACTCTACCGTTGTTGTTTGAAGTCACATCCACTGCATCGCATTGGTATCAGCCCAACAGTACCCTTTATAGCTCCCAATGTCTTCTTTGATGGAGTTGCAAAAATGATGATTCAAATCTTCATCCGTGTTTCTTGAATCTTCACACTGAGGACAAACTCGTATAGCGCAGGTAACTTCAGTGAAACACCTCAGCTGCAGGAATAAAGTTTGCTGCACCAGTTGAGTGCAAGCGAAAGTTTAAAGAGCGAAAGGAGAAAACTTTCTTCTTATTTATCTGGCAGTCTGAAGAGATGCAGAGGTGGGGGGTTTATCCTAGTCGAGCTCAGCACTCCGGTGGTACCCGCAGCCGCAAACAGAGAAACTCCAAGAGTGAAGAAATCCAAACGTGAGAGGAAGTAGTGCGCCCGCAGGGCTGCAAGGAGAGGCCACGTGTTCCCACATCTGTACGCACCGTCTGCACTCCTTGCTGCTCCAAGTGTGCGCGCGTTTGTGTGTGTGTGGACTTTTAAGCTACCTCAGTAAGTCAATAGACACATTTTAGCAACTTGTGATGGTGACGAGATGGACAAGACCCCATTCTGCAAGATTTTCTTCACTGAAATCAAAGCCACCGTCTTTTTCAAATTTGGATTGTGATAACCCTCAACTAAAATAAGTTAACATGCTATATGTGTCAATGTATTCATACACTTTCAAATGTTTCTGTTCTTGTCTAATGTTCTAATATAAGCCAGAATTACAAATAGATGATCATCTGTAACTTGTTAAAAGTAAAGACACTCTTATCCTTCACAAAAGCTCTTCAACCTTTGAGGCAGCAACAAGCTTTAGATAAAATGACAAACCTGTTCACCAAAGTTGGCCTCTCACATATCCAGCAAACACAGAGACACATTATCATTGATTATGCGTCATGTGTCTAGCCAGCAGGGCGATAAAAGAACAAATATCTTCAACATCTGCTGATGGGGGACAATTTAACTGATGAAGGTCTCACAATGTTCACCAGCTTGTTTCTGACTGTGTCTAAGTGCTGTTTAAGCACAACAAGTAGTGAAGCACAGTGAGTAAATCAAAGCCTTTCCTCTGAAAACAGCTGTCCTACGAGACTAAAAACAAACTGATAAGAGTGGTGGGAACGAAAAAATAAACAGGAACATTTTTTGCCGGAAAAACCAAAACATTGAGCTAAGAGAACCTGCAGACTGAGATTTCTCTGTACAATCAATATTTACATTTCACGAATAGGAAATGGTAGACTCAGCTATCACTCAATGTCAAAAGAGGCATCTTTTGACATTGAGTGATAATAATAATGATTGTGTGTTGCCAAAGAAGAAAGATTCATATATTTATGTCAAACATGTGTGAATAAGTTTATTGTTCTGTTGAATATGTTTCCCATTTCTTGCAGATGTGTTGCATGATGTTGCATTTTTGTGTTTTATAATGAGGAAATATGTGCTGCACTTTCCCCTGTGAGCTTCCCTGTGTTCCCCTGCCTTGAAACAAAACACACAGAGCTCTCAGACCTGTGTGTTCCCACTCTTTAACTGTTTCATCCATTACTCCAGGTCTATTTAAAGCACTTTATCCCCTGCACCTGTTTACCTCGTCAGTTCAGGACGCTGTGCTTTGATCCGCACCACAACATTTTACACAAGCTCCCACCGTGAGCTCTTTATATGGACCTTCTGCTACACCTTGAATTTTATACAACTTCAAAGTGTGCACATATTGAAATGAGCGCTCATATCACTACGACTGATTCAACTTTATGTGATTTACATTTCTCTCTGCATGAGTAATAGCACGTCTGTATCCTCAGAGCTTTTTACTGACAACTGCTTTATGTTGAGGTCACTCTACAGGGAGAACATGGGAAGAGCGTCTCTCCCTGTGTTATAGGAACCAGGTGTCAAAGGTGTCAGCGAGGCCGCAGACCGAGCCGAAGAAATGGCTGGTTTTGATTATTATCCAGTGAGGACCCTATTTTCTGGGTCACAGCATGCAAAGAGGGCACATTTTTGAGGTAGATGGGGCACCAGTAAAGAGACGGGGACATAGGAACCCTTTCACCCCGAGACCCTCACATTCCACCAGGAGAGGACATGCTAAACAGCTTCACATTGAGAGTTTCCTTTTACTAAAAATACAACAGATCCACATCTGGGAGTAGATCTAAGAATAGCTGCAGTGACAGACTCTTCAATATAATAATCTGTGTTCTATGTGAATGGGTTTTCATATTTACAGGTGCCAGCTTCCTGATCATGTTATTTCTTTCTTGCTCTTCTTATTGGATAACTGCAACAAAGTTACCCATAATCCCACACTGACAAGTTGCCCCATCAATCAGATACCAGAAACATTTCAAGTACAGTGATGACACCACTTCTGTGCATGCCAGGGTTGTTACAAAGTCACTGCTTCATGACTCCTCAAGGTGGCGCGTATGACATCAATGAGTGTGACATGAATTGAGGTTAACTGGTAAAAGAAGAAGTTTAGAGCTGGATAAAAAAGAAGGAGAAGATGGAGAGTGTTGGACAGTGGTGAAAAGAAGTTAAGAGATGAAGTGTGATAAGAGGTGACAATGACATCAATTTGATGTGAATAAATACATTAATCCGACACTTTACCTCTTATGGGGCATTTTGTATTGTTAAGATTATCTGATAATTTGATATATCATTCTGAGTTTGTCTTGCAGAATTATTGATATTAGCTGTATCAGGATGTTATAGTAACTGTGATTCCCGCCCATATGAAAGACGGCTGTTGAAATGTAAACGCCTTCTGCATTGTCATTAGAAATAAAACATCAGATTTTAACCTTGAACACACAGATAATTTAGCATTTTCTGGCATATGCCGTACCCTTTGTAACCTCACTCACCCATGTTTCTGCCATGTAAACAGTAGCCTGTGTCTGACTGTCTGAATGACTAAGCATCCTCTTATGCAAAACAAGCCGCTCAGTCGGCGTGCTGAATGCTGGATTAACGGGATAAACATCAAGTAAAGACTATAATAGGATAAAGCTGGAGTGCAAAGGGCTCAAATAGACCTGATCAGTTCAAAGGGACTGCAGGAATTCTTTACACAGAACACTTTGTTTATTCCCGCCGGTGGAGAAGCGCCTTCTCACTCTGCTGGTAAGTTTCTTTGTTGACATGGTCAGTGTGCAACTTTTTGAACCAGTTCCATCAGTCATGACTTCGCTTTCTGTGTTTAACCGTAATTTACTTTAATATGTAATCATTTTTGTGATATATTCTTTGCTAAATATATTATTAAAGTTTATTTTGATTTGCTAAAAGTTTTTTTTTTTTTTTTGACTGCTTACTACTTTAAGGTTGATTATTTTAGTTTTGATGTTTACTACGACATCCGTTTGTCAACTTGAGCCCTTTTTAGATGTCATTCTAATGAATAAATATTCACCTGTCTCTATAGCTATTGCTGTAATAATGTTGTAGATTAGAAACAGCTAAACATGTTGTGAGAAGAATACAATAGAACTGATTGTACCAGCATCTTAAACCCATAATGAAATAAGTCAGGCGGGAACATCCTCATTTACTGTAAATCCCCGCTGGATGCCAACTTGTGTAACTCAACTGGGGCAAAGTCTCCAGTTAAGTGATGCAGAGAGGTGAGCTCAGCTTTTTTACTGGTAAAACAAATGATCATGTCAGCACATGTTGTGATAAAAGAAGCCTCTAAGGGTCTCTTCTGTGCTTTTGATGGAGGCTGACCTCGTGACACAGCAGATGGTGAAGACGTAAACACAGACGGGCACATTTTTTTTAAGCTGTGGTTGGCTCTGAGAGGTATCCTTTAAGGTGTCCAACACTCACCCCCTACTGCTGACGCCTTATGGTTTCACCTAAGGCTCTTATATCTACAGATTAATGTCCAAAATAAGAAACAATACTTGTGCGGTTTTATAGCTAAGTAATAGAACATACTGGACTGAAACTTTGTCACAAAGGAGAACTCATCTGTAGGTAAATGCTCTAGTTGTCGACATATTCACCTCACACCCCATGTCACTAAAGAAAACTGTTTTAGAGCTGAAAATCTACCCATAAGCTTTGCCGTTTTAATTTGTCACTGGTTTTGCTGCACATGAACCATTTAAACCTTTGTTTGGAACATATTTTTTGAGGTTACCAATCAACATTCCCTGACCCAGTTATTTATTGACCTTTATCCAAGTCTTAGTTTCCACATAGTAGTGTTTGAGGGTTGAACAGATATTTAGCACCACCAAGTGGCAGACCTTATTGTGACCATGTGCAGGGTGCTTCATGTTTGATCATACTCCACTCAGATTCTATGAACTACACCAGACAAGAGTGTTTGTCTTGTTTTTGTCCCCCCTGTGTTGCGAGCATGTGAGCTTGTATTGTATGACGTTCTATTTGTCGGATTTCTTGCCATGTGATTTCAGAGACTGAGCTCGTCTTCAGAGAAACCCACTGAGCTAAACAATGAAGCTCCTGCTGCGTTTGGCTGTCCTGGTAGGGACTCTGGGGGTCCTTTATTCTACCCCTGAGGACCAGTTTACAGGCATCTCAGGGGACACCTTAAAGGGTGAGTCAGCACAAAGAAAACCAAATCTATGTTTAACTTACATGACTTGTTTTAAACCATTATCAATTAGGTTTTGTACCAGAGTTGGTTAAAGTTTGTTTTTAACAGCAATCCCTTTGCAAATGTCAGATATACAGTCACATATCAGACACAAATTCACTTATGTTACACACTTTATATAGCTGGTAGTTATTTTTATTACATTTGTTTGACTTATAAATCACAACAGCTTTTATACATTCCCTGTGTTCACTGTAAGAAAAGTGTAAAACAAACTTAAGAATATATCTCACCCTGGCCTTGTGTCATTCTTCTCAGAGTTGTCCTTGAGTGGGGAGAAACTGGTGGATGAGGAGATGAGGAGGGCTCTGTACGGGGTGAAACAGATGAAGGAGGTGATGTGGAGAAATGAGCAGAAGCACGATCACCTCATGAGGTCGCTCCAACACAGCAGCGATAAGAAGAAGGTGAGAAAAATAACAACAAACTCTCCTAATAGAGAGATAATAAAGAGATAAATGAACGGTTTCCCTTCCTGCCACTAGGGGGCAGTTCAGCTGGCTAAGGAGGTGACTGACAAGCTGAAGGAGGCGGAGGAGCAGTGCAAAGACTCCCTGCAGTCGGAGTGGGAGGAGTGCAGACCCTGTTTGGAGGATGCGTGCAAAACTTTCTACACCTCCACCTGCCGCAGGGGATTTGCAACTTTCAAGACCAAGGTATGAAAACTACACCTCCAACACCTTCCTTTTCACTCTGAGCTGGAAACTTGGAGCAACATTTCCTTACTTAGAACTTTACCTTTTGTGGAATCAGATCTCTGGCCTCAGTCTGTGCACTCTTTGAGGTTGTTAGGAGGCCTGAAGAGGTAGAACTTTAAATTATGAAACAATGAAAGATAAGTTGCCTAATAGTTAGAAAAAGCTCACAAGCCATACTGACAACAGCAAAGTAAACTCACTTCTGTTACTGTCTAATTCAAGGTGGAGAACTTGTTCAGCAGAGTGTCCCGACGCTTTGGCCCCCAACAGCCCCGTGTTGAAGCAGACATCCTGGTGAATCAAGGCCCTGACAACACCGACACAGAGGTCGCCCAAATCCAGAAGTCGTTTAGCCGCCTTATGAGCAAGGTGGGCACCCTGGTGAGCAACAGCGTCACCCTGGTCTCCAAGATGAGAGGCCGGCTGGACAAAGTCCTCCAGAGGGCTTTCCTCAACAACACTGACATCATGAAGGAGGGGGCCGACACCTCGGATCCCTACAACCCCGCCCGGGACTCCGGCTTCCTGGAGGGTGTGGGACTGGAGGAGGTGCTGGACTCCTTCTTTGACTTTGGCAAGAGTGTGGTGGAGGAGTTTGGAGCCGTGGTGACGCAGGTGTTTGATGACATCCAGGAGACAGTGGAGGAAGAGAAGAAGAGAGGTAGAGGATTGCAGAAGATGTTGAAATGACTGCATCAAAACCCATTCTTAAAGTGTGCTTATATATCAGAGGTGACTTTGGAAATACATTTAGGAGTAAGAAAATGAAACCAGTTTTCTTTTTCATTCAGAGAGGGAGAGTTTCCCTCGCTTCCTGCAGAACAGGAAGTTGTGCCGAGACCTTCGCAAGCAGACCTCAGAGTGCTGGAGGCTCCAGAGCCAGTGTGAGTCTTGCCAGGGAGCCCTTCTCACAGGTAAAGCCTCTCCATCCCCCTCCCCCTCAGTGCCCTTGTTGACTTAATCTGATATCCACTTACACTACTTCATTTGACCACTCTTCCTCCTGTCTCCAGAGTGCCAGGCTGTGCGGGAGCTACACGTGGAGCTGGATGAGGTCTCCCAGCTGCTGGATGTGTCCAAAGAGCAGTATGATGAGATCCTGTCCATCGTGCAGCGTCACACTGATGAAACGGTCAGCTGGCTCAGCAACATGGCAGCCGAGTTCAGCTGGGTTGCTCAGGCTGTGAGCAACGGCAGCGTTCCAGAGAATGTCTTCCGTGTCACTGTGGTAAGGAATAATTCAAAGTTTCTTAAAACAATCCTTACATACTCATAAACAGCAGTTACTTGGCTTTAACAATAAAGAGAACATGTGTACTCATTAGACATTTGAACCAACTTAATTGGCTAGAATCATGAACTCACATATATAAAATCATTATATCTTTATATATATATATATATATATATATGACTCTCATCTTCTTCATTTGACCTCAGTCTTTTAAGGAGCCCAAGCAAGAGTGCACAGAGAACAGACCTAAAGACAAGATGAAGCTGTAACTGCTGAAATACTCCACTGCACCAATTAATTGAACTCTAGAAATAAATTAAAACATCAAATAAACTATTTTTTTTTAACTACACTTCATTATTGAGAGACATGTTCCTAACACATTGGCCTGGAATACACACATGCACAAACAGGACATATGGACAATGGAGAGATGCTGCTGCACAGGGAGCACACTAGAGATGTTGGCGGCTTGGTGTTTAATGGCACCTCTGCAGTACTCAGGATGTGACCCGACACCTCTCCAGACCAACTTTTGGTCCATACTGGGAAAAAAAATACTGTAGGACTTTTCTTAAGGAAACAGGGACAATTGTAGATCATTTGGATGCCGGCAGTGTTAGCTGTAACATATTACTTCTTCCTCTCTCCAGGTGGCGCCAAAGATCCTTGATGAACAGAATCTGTCAGAGACTGAGACCACAGTGGAGGTGAGCGTCCTGAACTCTCCCTCTCTGATCCTCTCAGTCCCCGGGGAGCTGCAGCTGCAGGACCCAGACTTCATCCAGTATGTGACCCAGGAGGCTCTGAACAAGTACAAGGACATGGTCAGGTGAGAACCTTAACCTCAATGCAAAAAAAGTCTTATATTTTGAGCTACTTAGTTGAGGACGACAGTGTGCCTTTAAAGTACTGGGCTTACAAATATTTTATTTCATTATTGACTGTTAAATTGCAGACATGATTGAATATTCTCTCTCTTCACAGGTTTGATGATGAGTAAACCTACAGTTTCTCCTCTTCAGAGCTTCTTTCTGCACTTTCTTTGTAAACAGAACTAGATTGCTTTCCTGTAAAGTAGCATCATCTTGCTGAAATGTAAACATACTGCAAAAAGGGGGCGGCAGTAGTAAGGACTTGGACTGGGAACCGGAGGGTCGCCGGTTCAAGTCCCGCTGCGGACCAAATCTTGAAGTTGGTCTGGTAGCTGGAGAGGTGCCAGATCGCTTCCTGAGCATTGCCGAGGTGCCCTTGACCAAGGCACCGAATCCCCCCTCCACCATCAGCTCGGGAGAGCCTGCGCCACTCTGACATCTCTCCATTAGTGCATGAACATAGGCTCCTGTTTGTGCATGTGTGTCCTGCATGACTTACAGAGTGTAAAAACAGAAATTTTCCCTTGGGATCAATAAAAGTAAATCTTAATCTTAAATTAAGCTCATATCATTAATTACTTGTGAATGTCAAAAAAGAAAATGAAGGTCATACCTGCTGTCGATCGGTGTATATAAAGAAAAAAGCAAAAAAACGAGTATTTTTAAAGGTGACAAACATTTTCACCAGCTGAATCTTGATGGAATAAATTGACTTGGTGATCTCTGGGTGTCATCTTTGTGCTGTGGTGTAGAACGAGGATCACCGTCGCTTGTCAAGAACACGAAAGCTAAAAACAATCTTTTAATTAAAACTTTTTATTTCTTCTGTACAAAATCATATTAGTTACCATATTTCAGGAAGTCCAATATTATCCCCCTCCCTAAGTCAAGTCCAAATGTCTAAAAACAGTCAGGTTATCTTCTCAAGAATGAAAGAAATACAAAAAAAAGTTCACATCTTTACCACATTGCTAAGCTTGGTTACTGACAGACGACTGTTTTAAATGTCCCATCACACACAGCTGCACTGACAGCGGGACTTTCATTAAGAACTTATTTAAGGGATGTACGTGTCGTCAACATCTCGCCTGATTTAACCTGACCACAACGTGTGCAAGGTGTTGGTTTTGTCTGGTTGTTGTTACCTCACTGAAGACAGGATCCATCCTCTCTAAAACAGGGAATTAAAAAAAGGAAATCAATGACATAATGGCAGCTTCTTTCCATAAAACATTACTGGCTGACTTTGCATAGTTACACAAATTAAAGGGATGTCTTTTGTGTTGTTGGCTTTGGATGAAGCTTTATCTGCAGCAGAAACAGAACTGAGGACAGTGAAGGCATGTTTAGTCACAGGTCGCTGGGACTTTACTGGAAAGAGACAAGAAATACGACAGCTGTATGTAGAGATTTGTTAAAAAATAAAGACATTTGTTAAAGAGTGTTTTACAGCAATCAGAGTGGTGACTCAAATGAAAGACAAGATGCTCATTTTCAACAGAAACGAACGAATCGTACTGAAATTTCACAGCTGAAGTGTCATTTTAAAAACATTTATACAATGTTAAACAGAAAATGTTTTTCGTATATTATCAAAATACCTCTCTGTGATTTCAAGTCCTTGTTTAAATAAAAAAAAATTATCAGAATAAACCGACTTGATTTGCCATTCAAGTGACCATGTCAAAACTGAATCATACAAAATCACTCGTCGTGCTCTCATTCATCCACCTGATCACACCTGCTACAATACATCTGTTTGCACATACTGTCTGTACATCTCCTCAGGATATTCCTGTGCACTCTCTCATCCATAACGTCTGCCATCTTCTTCCTCTCCATCTTTTCTCCATCCAAGTTTAACAGTCACAGCACGTACTTGACAACTCAACCACAGTTGTTGATCGCTTAAAAACACACTTATTCACCAACATATTCAACCTCACGTACATCAAAGAATTGTTTTGTGAAATAACATTTGAAAAAAATCAGAGGAGCAAAGGGAAATTTATCATCTAAATCGTAAAAAAAAAAGAAAAAAGAAGCATAATAAAGTAGCTGTTGATTTAAAAAATGATTGGAGAAAAAAAAAACCTTTGCTCTTAGATCACAGTGCTTTGGCCGGTCCATGTGGATTATTCTAATTAATCCCAGAGTTTAACGTACCAGCACCAATGTGCACAAATTAATGCTTTCCCCACATGTTTGGTCCAGCGGTACAAACAAACCTCTACCTCCCAACACATTTTTCTTCTTGCATTGCAGATGTACCAGTGTGGTTGTGGACTAGTTTGTAGCATTAAGATTTCTCTTTGCAGCCTCGTCAAGGCTTCTCCCATTAGTTGAAGGTTTTCCGTTGTCCCAAGCTTTGATCTCCACTCATTTATCTCTTTGAGACGCCAACGTTTGAACCGATTGAGGCCTAAACTAGAGGTTGTCTCCTGGCTGGTACTGTGGCTCTGTGGCTGTGAAGTAGTCTTCCAAAAACGACTGGATGTATTCGAAGGTGGGTCTCTCATCTGGATCCTTCTTCCAGCAATGCCTCATCATCTCATGGAGGGACTCGGGGCACCCCTGGGGGCATGGCATTCGGTAACCTCGCTCTACCTGCTCGAGTACCTCGCGATTCACCATACCTGGGAGAAAAACACAAATATGGTGAAAATCAACCAAGTAGACTGATGGTGTAAAGCAGTGGGATGTGGTTAAACAGCCACATTGGAGAGGCGTATTTATTACATGCTGGTTGACATCGAGTTGTAAGGTTCCAATCTTAAAAAGCCAATTTGAAGATCAATGAGGAAAGACACGTTTTGGCGTTAGATAACTTGTGTTAGATGACTTTCTGCACCAGGTAAAGCTGCTAAACATAAGACAATGATGACACCTATAACTATACAGCCTAAAGTTACATTGAAATCTGTTCTGAATAATATCTGCAGGGATGAACACTCTGCTCCATGCTCTGTCTCTCTCTCCTTTTCTCTTCTTAGCTGTCACTGTTCTCCTCAGTCTCTTAGCATCAAATGTTGTATCTAACAGTACTGGACAGGTTTACTGGTTTGTTTTTACAACTGAAGGATGGTGTGAACTAGTGCCTTAAAGCCGTACACACTTTTCACAAGATGACCATGGCCCGCTGCCAAAGTTACATACTGCAGTAAACAGGTGATCGGGCTGCACTGTGGCCATAGGGTAGACGCTATTCTCCCTGCTGAAAGTTTTTTTTTTGTATGTTAAATCGACCTTTGAAACTAGTGTTTAAAAGTGTAAAAGTTACATACTCTTGCTTTGAGAAAAAAATGGGGGAGGAAAAATCACACAAACTAAATGTGTTCAACCTGAGGCCTGTACACATACAGATTAGAATTGTTGTCCTTATTCTGTAGAAATGAAATGTAAATATAAATGTAACATGTCCCAGTGATCTCTGGCAAAAAACAAAATGTGTTGAGATAAACACAAGATATTGCAACCTGAAGGACACTGATAGAAATTCATGTTTGTAACTCATGCTGCAATTCCTTACTTTTAATTGCAGTCTTGGGGGGGGAAACTGCGTCTCTGTCCTACTAGAGCAGCCAGAGTCTTAGAGTCTTCAAGACAGTACGACAGTACGTCATCCTGAACCCGTGACACTGTGCAGAAACTGCTCCATGGGGAGGTCTAATGCAGCTAAAAGAGGTGATGACACAAAGTCGGTGGCATGGTTGGAGATGCATCCTGCCAAACCACCCCCACTCCATCTCCCCCTTTCTCTGTGGGGATCAGGTTATCTCACACTGGGAAAGAGGAAAGACCCAGAGCCACTGTTGAGACCAGGATATGGTTGCGGTGATGGTGTGTCGGATGCTGAGGTGTTAGCGTGATTTATGTCTTGGAACTCTGAACCTCGGCTCTAATAACATGCTGTCATGAAGCTATACATTTATTTATAAAAACACAGACTGAAATAGAAGAAAGATGATGTGTTCTGATGCAGACACTTGGCACGCGGTCTTGGTATACCTGCTTCATACTGCTCTATGCTACCATGGAATAAAAATAAAACTCCCCGCACAGCAGGACCGGAGCCAGAAATGTCTGGTGAGTCACACTTCAGTTATAAAAAAAAAAAGAAACGAGGGGGTTCAGCCCCAAGACTCTGCAGCTCTGAGGTGAATTAATCAAACCCAACAGTTTGCATCAAAAACCAAGAGGGCCACAGGAGCCAGATGGTCCCCTAAGAGAGAGGGTGGTTAAGTCTGCCATATGGCTCGCTCTGTAATCAGTGCCACTCCAACAGTCACCACCACTGACACGCTGACAGCAGTACCCCTCTTAGACAGCAGGGGGCAGAGGTGAGGCGACAAGAAGCAGAGAGATCATGTATGAGAGTGAGGGGTAGTTTCCCATGCTCTGATAAATCAGTAGACATCTGTGATGACTCATTTCAGCTTCATGCAGTGCTTTTCTGATCTGCATGTGTGAGAAAAAAAAGCTATTAAAAGCTTCAGCTGACGGAGAATCAGAATAGCATGTAGGAATTATCCTGAGGCATAAATGAGTGAATCATGCCAGCCGTCCATGATGAACTTCATAAAACAGTCCTTCATGTTCTTTGGGGAGGGACAAACACATACAAGATACTGGGAAAGTTTGAACAGGACGCAGAACTTTTTCTCATCTGTACCTGGGTATGGAACTCTGCCCTTGGTCACCAGTTCAGTGAGTAGTATACCAAAAGACCAGACGTCTGATTTGATGGTGAAGCGGCCGTACAGAGCAGCTTCAGGAGCCGTCCACTTGATGGGGAATTTGGCACCTGGGAAAGGGGGGGTTAAGAAAAGAAATATGATGAGTTATAAACAGGACAGATTCTAGTGATGTGGTTGTGAATACCATGCTCATTCATTATTCATAAATCTGTTGAATACTCTTAAAAAGTCAACATGACATAGCTTTATAGCAAAGCCGTGGAGAATTTAATGACTTCAATAATTCTTGAGGCAATAATTGGATAAACTGAACCTCAGGGTTGGGACAGAAGTGTTCAGAAGAAATGTGTAGTTTCTTTCGAGCCAGTGTAAGTTCTCACTACATCGGCCCATGAGTCTCTGCACATCTAATACATCCAATGCCCTCTCTCCACAAACCTTGTCTGGCCGTATACTCGTTGTCCTCGATGAGCCGGGCGAGGCCAAAGTCGGCTATCTTGCACACCAGGTTATCAGCCACGAGGATGTTAGCGGCTCTCAGGTCCCTGTGGATGTAGTTCATCCTCTCAATGAAGGCCATGCCGTCTGCAATCTGAGAGGTTGTTGGAGAGGACAGAGGAAGAGGAAGAGATGGAAGGAGGAGAAGTAAAAAAAAAAAAAAAAAAAAAAGACATTAAAACAACCTAAATCAAAGACAGCTGGTTTGAGAGCTTCAAACTTTGGCAGACAAGAGAATCAACCCTACTCGCAATCGGATAAAAACAAGTTATTTTATGGGCCATTTTTGTCTTAATTGGATAGCTGAAGAGAGACAGGAGATTTTTGGAGAAGAGAGCTTAGAATGACAGGACTGAGGTCGGATTTGATTCCAAGGACTCTGTACAGCCTCTGTACACGGGGCACCCTTCATAACGCTAGGCAAACCGGCACCCCATCAGTCTATCCAACATTTCCTCACTCGACTCCCTCAGAGGCTTGTCTGGGTTTCAAAAAGCCTCAATGTCATTCTCAAACACTGTCATGCTCTGCTGAATGAGGAGAGGAGGGAGAAAAGGGAGCCTGGGAATTAAGAACAGATCACAGTAGGTGACTGAAGTCGCCAGCTCAAGTGGCCTCTGATGAGTGGTGTTTAAGTGCTACAAGTCAGTTAAGTGGTGGAGACTGGAGGGATGCACGTACAGCAGGGAGGAGGAGGAAGAAGGTAGAAGTGTCAGGTTGTGTATTAAATAAATATAACAGCCAGATGGAGAGTTAACTAGAACCTTTATTCTGACTCATGCACACCTACGCACACGGCTGGGTACACGCCCACATGCAGCTCTCTTTGTTTTATTCATCATGCATGATAATCCCTCCCAGTGTAAACAACAGCTCAGAAATTCAAGGGGAGGAGTGTTAGAGCTCAAACACCAGGGTTTCATCCTACCTGTGCAGCCATGTCCACCAGTTGGGGCAGCTTCAGATATTTACCATCTCCCTCCTTCAGGAAGTCCAGTAAACTACCTGTGGGAGGTTTTCAAGAACTACAGTGAGGCACGATCAATACAACAGTCTGGTCAAAGTATCAACACAAAACAAATGCAGCATCACAGGAGACCAAGTTTCAGCATGAGAAAACAAAAAACAAGCTTTCTACAGTAGCTTCATTTGTTTGCATGTAAATTGACACAGCTTGAGCGGTGTTTAAACATGAATGTGTGCCTAACTAAAGAAAGTTCCTCTTATTGTATTTTACCCTAACTAAGCAGCAAGTTTCAGATTTATTACATCACTTTCCTCCATCAAATGTAAAGACTTTCATATGGTGTTTAAAGGTCACATATTATGTTCCTAACCTGTCTACAAACCCCCCCCCCAAGATGGAGAAAAGTCCATCATCTCCATCTTTTGCGTGCTCCACTTTTCAGAAAATGTGTGCTCAAACATGCCGTTTGGAGATCTTCCCTTTGTGACATCACAAAGGGCTGTAACCCCTCCCCCAGGTGGGTGACACTCTCACAGCTAGGTGTTTGTTCTGCCCTCTGAGTCTGCCTTCTCACCGTTAAACAATAGGGCATGGTGCAAGGAAAGTCCAAACCACCCAAGAATATCCAGAGGGGCGTGGTCAAAACAGCTTAATATATTTAAAGCTACAGTAACAAAAGCAGCTTGTTCTGAGCAGTGACATCTTCCCTTATTGTGATTGCCAAAACAACTAATACAAATATAAAATAAAAAGCTGTTCAAATGTACACATTCACTGGGCACAAAAATAATAGAAAAGTACACACGAGTGTTTGGGAAGAGCCAGCAGCTTGCAGGGGAGAACTTTAAACACATCTTATCTGCCTGACATAGCAATGGTAATCTTCAGTTTTGGTCAAACAAAGTAATCCAATAAAAAGCCTTAATGAGCAGATCCAGATGATGTGGAGATAAAATCCTGCAGGAATACCAGTCTGCGTCTTTTTATGTGCTTAGACGGAGAAATGCATAACTAGCGACAGTATACTTCATGTTCATGTTAACGGATAGCAGTGAATGAAGCTGTGTGCTTATTATTCAGCCCTGAACATGTGGGGATTTTTCACAGGAATGAATAGAAGTATGGGTACATTCTCCAGTCTTTACCTTTGCCCATGAACTCTGTCACGATGTAGATGGGCTCCTCAGACACCACAGCATAGAGAGGCACCAGTTTGTCATGTCGGAGTTTCTTCATGATCTGAGCCTCCTGCAGGAAGGCCTCTGGGGACATGGTGCCCGGCTTCAGTGTCTTAATGGCCACCTTAGTAGTGCCATTCCACGTACCTGAACAACATAGAATGAGAGCAAAATGAGAGCTCTCGTTCAAAATAAACCGCTAAGCAGTGGTGCATTCATGGAGCTTGAACGGTATAAATGCAGAAAATAATTAATCTAACGCATTTTCAATTTATTAAGTGATACATTCTGTAATGCTTAAACCATGTAGGTGCATTTTAGACTTTTTGACCCCTTTTAAGTGATTAAAAAGTGGATTCTAAAAATCCGCCGCCATGCCAGTGATCCCTGGCAGCATTCCTGTGGGTAAAGAGCGGTTCAGAGAGAACACAGCAGCTTAAATAATCAGCCACTTCCTCGTTTGAGAGCCACTTACTCACGCCCTGCTTACATACAATGAGCTGAGGCAGGAGATCTGCTGCTTCCGTCATGTGGCTGACCTTCATGAATGAATCATACTGAACAGACTACACACACAAGCTGAAGGACAAAGTAGGGCAATGATAATGATCTTCTAATACCATGTGGTTGTAGGAGAGCAGGGGTCAACTGACAGGCTGCAAGACATTTAAAAAAGTTCAGAGTTGGACAGACAGGGGGAAAAAAAAAAAGAGGAGTTTCAGGAAGAAGTTGTAGCCGAGCAAGACCACACAGAACGAAGACGGAGAGATAGAGAGAGAGATTCCTGGGATTGCACAGCGGAGGCGCTCAGGTCGAGGCTTGCTGCAGGCCACGCTTAATGAAAGACTGAGTGATGAAAGAACAGCGTCGTGCTCACTCGCAGGACCCAGGAACTGAAGCGTAGGAGGTGACCTGTCATTACTGAGCTGCGTGCTGCAATCCGTCTCTGCATCAGTATGTGGGCCAGTGAGGCAGCAAGACCAGATCTGTTCTGAGGTCAGTCCCACTCAGCGTCAAGCTAACATGAATCACTCGATAAACACACTTTGTGTATGTGCTTTTACTGTTTCTGAGTTGTTTTACATCAAATGTACATGCCTTATAAATAATGTACAGTGGATGTTTTGTTTCTATATGTAAACCCTAATGGCTCTGTGAGTGTGTGTTTCTGCAGTTGTTTGTTTTCTTTACTAATTCATGATCAGTGTCAGCATTAAAACATCAATATTTCAGTGTTTTTTTATGCACGTGTGTGTGTGCTGCACAAAGGAAGTCGACAGAATAATTCTTCAAATTGATACATGTTCTAACTGCATCAGCAACATCTGGATTTAGGACTTCTACATGAGCTTAAAGATTTAACACAATTATGATTCAACAGGAATCCTGATTACACCTGGTTAGACTGAAATTACAAAGTAAAACTCTGACTATTTGGGTTTCAGATAGAAACACACTTCTTACCCAATAAAGATCTTGTGACACAAAATCAACACTTCTAAAAGAAACTTCTTCAATCAGCACTTCCTACAGTTTAAAATTATTATGAGTTAATAATCTGTGAGTTTGTAAACAGAAAATAAATCTGCAACAAAAAGATGTGTTTAAGTTTTTGTTTTGAAAAACATGAATTTTTCACGTGGGTGAAAAACATGAATTGGTAAAAGCTCCTCAAATGAAATCATGTTCTGCCTACCTCTGTTCTTCATCAGGTTCAACTCAAATAATTTAGTTTTTGAATTGTTGCTCGTAACAAGTAGTATCAGTATGTTTGCTTCGGCTACTTGAAATGTAGATGTGTGTTTTTCTTTTGCTATTTTCTAAACAAATTAAATGATGAATCAAGAGAAAAAGGATGGATTCATTGCTGATGAAACTAAAAGGCAGCAGCAGCTAACAATATATATTAAATTACTTCTCCTGCCATCCAATTTCATCCAAGCCTGTTCTGCTAGAGTAGAATAGAGTAAAGAAGAATATACAACAAAAACTCTGCAGCAGCATGGAGCGAGTGGAAAATGTAGTTTTCTATCCTTTTAATTGAATCAATCATTACTTAGTCAGCTACAGGCGGTCATATAGTCACAGAGATCTCAGTACTATTTATTCAGAGTTTTTGCAAATTACTTAGGAGACAAGACAATAATCATGGCAGCTATCTACCTAGAACTTTGAGATCAGAGTGTCTTTCCAAGAGACTGAACCGTTCTTCAAACCGTGTTGTCTGTGTTTCCACCAGCACCAGTCAGAAACGTCTAGCTCCAAAAGCCCTGCCCCAAAGTCCCCTTACTTTAGGAAAGTACTTCTCCCAAAGCAGGAACACTTTTGAGAATTGAGTCCTCTGGGTTTATTTAGAGCCTGATTAATGTGGTGGGAATGCAAAGAGTTCCTCGAAAATCCCCCTGCCCGACTGAAGTTACTGTATAAAAACCCAGCTTATGAGACATTCACTGTGAGCTGGAGTAGAGCAGTAATAGTGTCTTACCCATCCAGACTTCTCCGAAGCAGCCCTGTCCCAGTTTGACCTCCAGTCTGAGAGACTCTCGTGGGATTTCCCAGGCGTCCCTCGCGAGCCCCTGAGTCTGAGGCTTTACTGTCGGGCACACGGTTGTTAGCCGGTAGCACAGACCGTCAGCATGTTCTGGTCAGGAGAAGACATGTAGAAACAGAAAAGAAATATGTTTTAGTTAAAGCCTGCTAAGTAAAACCGTCAGTCTGTTCAACACAAACACAATGTATAGTATTTAGTGCACACTAAATCCTAGCAGAGAGCAGAGCTGTTCTACAGCAAGTGGACAGTCAAAATAAAAGTTATACATCACAGTGCATCACATCAACAGCTGCAAACTGCACTCTAACAACAACAGATTAAATTGACAATAAGTCAGTTATTCCTAGAACAACACTTTGTTTTCTCTTCCAGAAATAATCACAATGTCTGGTTATTTGAACATCCTGAGATGAACCACGAGGAACCCAATTTGATTCCAATTTGAGTTAAAAAGCATAAATATCACAGGGTTGTTTTTTTTTTTTGATAAAGAACACGGTGCAAACAGTGGCTGATCTCAACAGCATTAAAATTCATGTGAAAAGCCTTATTTGAATTCGGCAAACAGAGACAGTTAATCATCCACTGAACAGGTAAGAAGCTACAAACATCAATTGCATGATCTCACACTTGTTATTGACCTCTGTCTGCACTTCACAGCTCTACACTTGAAGGGAGATAAAGGAGTGTGGAGCTTCGAAATCATCAGTCAATTCAATACACGTGATGAATTAAATGAAGAAGAGTTTCTTATTCCCCTAAACTGAGGAGTTCTACTTCTGGGTGATTTAGAGCACACTTTCAATGATCAGTCTATCCTCCCAGTGCTTTCATCATCTAAAGACTTTCTTGTGACAGTCAGGGGGATTTTTCTGGGAACAGCTGCCTGCTTATCAATGTAATGGAAAGAGAACAGCAGGCTTAGGGCTGTGTTTTTTTAATGGGACATTTCTTATATTCACGCTTCTATTGGCTTAAGCAAAACATGTTGCAGATTTTTTGGGGACTTAGGCATGATTACTGAGCTACAACTGTGTCTGTAAAACATACTCAACACCGTCCCAGGAGTTCCACAATCTGAATGATTCATTTCAGTTAAACAAACTGAATTCATTGGAAACTTGCATTACAAAGACTACTCCACTGTAAATGCTGAAATGACTAGAAATCATCTGTGTGTTTTTCCAGATGACAAACTACAACATGAGTCTGAGAGGAAAAGATGACAAACTTCCTGAGAGTAGGAGCAGCACTCCCGTTGTAAACAACTATTTGTCTAAATGCTGCCTTCATGAGATAATGATGATGCTGATGTGTAAGCAGGTCATGCTGACAGACTGCATACCTGTGTAGTGTTTCACCAGCTTCTGCAGAGTGTCAAATTGGGCCCGAGTGGTGATGTAATAACCGCCGCTGTCCAGCTTGCGAATCTTGTAGTGTTTGACGTTGTCTCCCTTCACCTCATCCCAGTCCCGGATCGACAGAGAGTAGGCACCTTTGAAATCCACAGATGTTATGTTATGCTTTATGGTGACACAAATCTTTATCCAATGAATCCCTTTACTTAACACTAAAGATACATTTCATTTCACTTCTAGCCTACGTAAACAAATCTTCCTTTTTTTTCGTCTGAATTATCGAATGGCTGCAATAAAACCAAGTCAGCATTTTACTTAAGTACACAAAAGGGAACAAGAATACATTTCCTTTCTTTTAAGAACTTCTTTCAATAAATAATCCTCGTACCTTTGGTTGTCTCGCTCTCTCGTGCCAAGAAAACGCCCCGCTGGTTCCCTGGAAGCAATAAGAGACGCTCAGCGTCCTTGCGGCCCATTTTACCGAAGTACCATCTGCCAAAGCAAGAGAGTCAGAGAGTCAGACACAGGAGAAGCTCTCAGAGTGAAACACTGCACAGGAGTTAGTATGACTGGGGATCTGATTCTTTGCTGTTTGCTCTGGTTATGTAGGAATCTCAAACATCTTGACTAAGTTAACGTGATGAAAAAAAATGGAACAGGAAAATAGGTAACACTTTAAGTTAGGTAGATTCTATAAAAAGTCAGGAATTTGTATCTGGTTCTGATGAAACGGTCTTCAAACTCAGACTGAAGAAATGTATCAGCCTCTAATCTGATGATGTGGAATAAGGTAAAAGCAAGAATAGTATTTTAAGGATTGATTTAGTTTATCATTATTTAATTTTTTTTTTGGGGGGGTGGGCTTTTTTCCTTTATTGGACAGGACAGCTGAAGAGAGACAAGAAATGCTGGGAGGAGAGAGAGGGGGATGACATGAAGCAAAGGGCCGATGTTGGATTTGAACCTACAACTGTTATATATTTGAGGATAGCCTGTGAACATGGGGCGCACAACATAACTGCTAGGCTACCGACGCTCCCAGCCCTTGACTTTTTTGATAGCTGAAGAGAGAGAGGATATGTGGGGAAGAGAGAGCGAGGGGAGGACATGCACCAGATGGACATACGGCAGGAGTCGAACCAGCAACCAGTGGGACGACAGCTTCACCTCTGTCTAATGGGCGCTCGCTCTACTGGCAGAGGCAAACCAGCGCCCCTAAACTCTCATTATTATAGCTCCCTGACAGCTCTTATCTGCTCTTATATCGAAACTATTCAGCCTAAGCTATCACAACACCTTAACAAAAAAATATTAGCTCTGGCTGTTTTCAGTCCTGAACACTCTTTTAGACTGAGGCAGAAGTTAACAAACTGGTTTAACCACAATTTTCTTTTTTCTAATGAGTTGCTTAAACAACTAATACAGGTATCCTCGCAGCTGTCAACCAATCAGAAACCAGGCCATGATGGTCTATTAGCAGCACAGTTTCTGAACCGTTCTGTCACACCGGATAAACAGCAATGGGAATGCCACCGGCTCTCGGCGACAGCACAGGGCTCCATTGTTTCAACTCTGTGCTGCCATGTCGGTGCACGACTTGTTTGTCACAATGTGCGATCGCCCAGCCAAATCATGTTGTCTCAATCAGAGAAGAACTAAGCAGGGTGAGGCAGCAGAAAGGAATAATGAGAAGGAAATCAAAATAAAAGAAATAATAGGGTGGGATAATGACGGGGATAGAAACAAAGGGTGTAAAGAAAAGTTAATGAGCTCACTCTTCAGCCTGTATGGAGTCGGCTGGAGCCACGTAGTTACTGGGGATGTAACCTTTCTGACCGGTGTTGATGGAGCGAGCCTCCCACCAGTCACCTTCACTGAGGGAAGCAAATTGGAAATCAGAAACACACAATACAGACACAAAAGCATGACTGAAAAATACACCTACTCTTAAAAGTAGACTGAAGGTTTAAAAGGAAAAAAAAAAGATCTTAAATAACAAGGTCACATTATGCGTCATTCAAACACGTCAGTTCTCCAAGCCATTATACGGAGGGAGTGGTTTATAAGTCATGGCAAGCAGAGGTGGATGAAGTACGTAAATCCCTTACTGAGGGAAATGCATGAATATCATAGGAACAGTCGTGCATAAGCAACCCTGCTTTAACATGGACACAGGAGTGTCATCTAAAAAAAGTAATGGTACTTGTTCTGCACAATAAAAGCCCTCGATCAGCATGCTGTCATGCGATTAATGAAAAAGTTGTTGGAAGAGGTTACAAAATGCTTTTCTAATCTTTGATATTTCAAAGTAAACTTGCTTCTTTGTGCATCGTTATGTCAAATCTTAGTCTGAAAGTTTTTGGTAACTGCAGTGTTACCAAAAACACTGTGATTGGTAACGCGTTAAGAATAAAAAAAGTACACACGTTTCCTTTCACCACTGATGGCCTACAGTTGTGACTGTATTAAAATAAAAAGCTTCATAGGTTCATGGAAAAGTACAAGAATAGAAATACGTTTTTAAAGACATGCTCAAAATCTTTTTTAATTGATGCTCCACATCCACAGTTTCAGATATAAAACACTACGCCTACAACTAACAATGGAAATGTTGCAGTAAGATATAAAACACTAAATCCTACGTCCATGAGAACAACAGCAGATGTGCGAGCATAAATTAAACAAAGATCAGGAACCGTCCTATAGGAAGAAACTGTTTCCCTGCAGTTATGAAGAACATCTTCCTCCCACCTCCTTTCTGTAAGCAGATGGACTTTTCATCACTGTGTATGGACTGTGGCTTAAGACGGGTGTGATGAATTTGGAGAACTTGGCACTGTGCCTATTTTCACACCTGTGCACGCCTGGGAAATATTGTTCTTCTGAACTGAGGAATTAGCATTTAGCACCCTTTAGTTATTTGATTATTTAACACCACTAAGACATGTATGATGAACATCAGTCAAATATAGTTGTGGACATGAAGGCCATGCTCTAGCTGTGATATTGAATTTAGCTCTCACAAATAATATTTAGCGACATAAACAAGAGCGAGGAATGCTTTTAATAGACATGCTACATCGCTAACAACATTTGTCTCTTGAGAAGGAGCAGAAGTGTTTTAAAGCAAACAGATTCCTGAAGAGTTTGACCTTCAGGTTTGTTTCAGCATACTTTTAGTGGCTTTAAATACAGATTCTCTAAATGTTACACATTACATCACATCAACGGCTCGTATTTGAAATAATGAGGGGAGAGCAGTTTGATAATTACTGTATTCCAAAAGTAAAACTGGAGGAATCAACTGTGGCGTGAGAGAAGCTATGAGGACTAAACAGATGGCCCATTAGAGGAACCATTAACCCAGACAGATTTCAGCCTTAATATCAGACTCCAATACAATGAGGGATTAAAAACACACACACAACCATGAGGACACATATCCCCGCAGCAGGAGTTTGTCTGTTTTAACTCACGTGTTGTTGATAATCTGGAAGCGATCCCCTTTTTTGAATGAAAGATCATCCGATGTCCTCGCTTCGTAGTCGTACAGCGCGACGAAAAATGTTACACCGCCTGAAAACGAGAGAATACGAAGCATCAAAAGTGTGGACATGCCAAAGCTACTTAAACCTTCAGTTCCTCAATGGGACGTCGGATTCCGTAAATGAAGTCATTTTTTTTTACTTTGAAGTGTTGCACAAGAAACAAAAAGTCCTTCAACAATGTAAAACCTTCAAAATAAGATGCTCTTTTTATCACCTTCCTTTCTTACTTTTATTAAATTTTACACCTGAGTGAAAAGATTTATTTATGCTCATGTTATAATCCAAGAATATAAAACAAAACACTTTATTGGAGACATTTCTCTAAAACAAACACTTTGTTTTATTTTTTCTAATATCCCGCTGCCTGCCTGCGCTTCAGAGCCTGGACAGAAAACACACCAGAGAATCACATTTTTATGTGACTGGGAGGCATAGCGTCACATCAGTGAATCAAATTGATGTCACTTAATCTCTTCTCCGTAATGAAAAGAGATGATTTGTCAGCTCTGAAGTGACAGAGTACAGAGAGGCAACATGACTCTGATATGTTTATCTGGAGGAGGAAATTGAACGGGCAGGATTAGATCTACAGCAGCACCTCAGGCCAGATTATCCTCCCTGAGAGATCACAGCAGGGACCGGGGGATGTGTGAGTGTGTGTGAGTGTGTGAGTGTGTGAGTGTGTGAGTGTGTGAGTGTGTGAGTGTGTGAGTGTGTGTGTATGCTTTGGGAGGAACCTTCACTCAGTGCTATGTATGTTTATTGCATAATTTAACCATCTAATCTATAATTTATAAACTACACAAAATAGGCTCACGAGTACTTTTCATGTCACCAGCAGTCATTTCATTTCTGACAAATCTAAAGTCACATCCAAAGTAGAACTAAAACTGTGGATGACTCAGTTCACTGAAGTCAGGGTCAGTCATTGTTTTCTTTGGCTCCAGAGCCACTGTGCATTGCTTCCCATATTACAGACTATTTTTGGGTTCCTCTTTGGCCTTGATGTTTTGGACCAGTCCTTTCAAATGTCTAATTTGCACAACATCTGCTGTTCATAACGTCCTGTGCATACTGCATAGGAAAATGTTCAGCAGAGTTTATTCCAAAGTTGAACCCTGACTAACACATACAGAAAAGTTAGAAACTGACAGAGGTTAATAGGTTTTGTTTCTGTTTCTTTTCTGAAGGGGCTAAGCTATCCAAAGTTATTCCTTCTTTCCCCTCTGTGACCTCCTCCACTGACTCACCTGTGATGATGCCGGGGAACGGGCTGCTCACAGCAACTGAGGTGAAGGAGGTGGAGGCCCCACCGAACGGCGTCATGATTGAAGACGCCCCACCGAACGGCGTTAGGGCGGCGGCATGACTGTTGTAGCTGTTGTTGAGTGTCTTCATGGCAGGTGAATGACCCATCAGGGTGGGGTCAGGCCCGTAGTGGCCCAAGTGAGAATTGAGCGGTGTGGCATTTGGGTTGTCAGGTCGGTACTTTAGAGCCGGGCCCTTGTCTTCTTTACTCCTGACGCAACCCATCGTCAAGCCTGCAGGGAGGAGGAGAAAGAAAAAGGTGAGCTGATTTGCTGTCAACACAAACAGTAAAAGTGTATTCCTATCTTTGACTTGACCATTCAAATTATCTACTAGATCGGCTGTTCAAGACATTTTTCTAACATAAAAAATAATTCTGGGGGGGGGTTATAGCTTGTGATCAATATGTACAAAGAATCATTAAACCAAACTGTACTGGACTTGAAGATACACATTTCAAAAACTCCCTAGAAGTGATGAGTATTTTTTAAAGATTTTGGGGCTTTTTATGCCTTTCAGTGTAGAGATGGAAAGTGGAAAGTATTGAGCTAAACAGTCAATGCATTTCTGCTAAAAGAAAAGAGAACTATACAACACTATCACATTTTCAGTAGTATTTGTGAATGTGAAACAATTAGGTGTTTATTGTTACTTCTGTGAAATAAACCTAACAACAGGCCATCATTTGTAGAAGGATAGAAGAACTGGGTTTTGTTGTTGTACATTTACTGCAACAAATGTCAAGAACTGATTTTGTTATTGTTCATACTAGGCCTGATCTTTTTGGGGTACCATTCTTTACATTACAGAACACAAAGAATGCAATCCAATGAATGACCTCATACGACTTCACAAGTCCCAACAAAAGCCTGTCAAGTCAGCCCATCTAGAAATGAGCTCCAATTACAGCCTATGGCCACTTCAACTCTGCCCCCTTTGATCACACTAGACACAGATTTGAGAGGGGGGAGGGGGCTCCTGGTGTTACAAGTCCATGCTCTACGCTACTGAGCTTACTCATATATGAACCCATGCGTATGTGTCATGATGCGTTTCCTGGACTTCAAGGACTTAGACCAAATCAGTTCAGCTCAAAGGAAAGACAACATATCCTCCTCTTGAAATGTTTAGGCTCAGTTATTGTGTGAGAATGTTTAATGTTTGGACAGAGAGTCAGTCATTGGGAGGAAATATATAAATACATAAATGCAGTTGACTTTATAACTGTATATGTTTGTGTGGGGTCAACTACAGCTTCCTCTGTTTACTCATTGTTCTGTCACCTTTGGCCTCATCGTCAAGTAGTTCTGTGCATGTGTGTGTCCTCCTGTGTACAAAATGAAACAATCTGCCAAGACAGGACAACTCCGAGACAGATCCACTGCCCATGACTCATATCCTGGCCAGGGAATGTTACAACATGGTTTCAAATGGCCGTCAGAGACAGGTCACATACTGGTTTTTGTAATAGGATGACAAAGGTCAGTGCTGCTGTCATTCATATATGGGAGGACAAAAAAGTCAAGACAAGAAACAAAAAGACAAGAGAGGTAGAACAAAGGACAGATGATACATCTCAGTGGCTCAGAGAGACTCGGTTTTTACTTTTAAGGCAAGTTAATGGACCATTGTTCTTACATTCAATTACACAGCTTTTTCATAATTTTGAGTTGAGCATGTAGGAATATTAAGTGTATACATAATAAGTATATTTGCATAGTGTTTCTTGTTTGGTGCCAAATTCTGTCACCTGACATCATCAGGTGGCATCATTTTTTCATTGTATTTAATTGATCATGTATTAAGAACATGAATTTCTTATTTCAGTACCTTCTGTTGTACTTAATAATGTGTGAGCTACTTTGACATACATGTACGTTTTTCTGTTTAAATTAACATTTAACATAAACTACTGTGATTAAAATAGGCTATGACCCCGTCAGGTGTCCAAAACTGTACGAGAGACAATTAATCTGCCCTTTCAGAAGTTGAATAACTGATGCATAACCCAAATCACAAACCAGAGAGGCAACATGCTTACTTCAGATGACCCCCCGCACCAACCACGACTGTGATTTTTTTATGGATGTATCGATTTGGCAGCACTTAAGTTTGTTCTAACAAACTGGAACTAAGACAAAAAAAAATCCTCAGACTCTACTGAAAGTATGACTTCCACTTGTGCAGGGCAGCTCTACAACTAAACCTAATAACAGTCAAAAATCTATCTATGGATATACTTTTCTTTAGATGAATGGTGTATTGATTTGCTTCCATGAACAGTATTGACCAAAAGCCAATGCTGGCTGAGGCAGCGGAAATAGAGTCTGCGTGATGGATGGAGATTCATTTTTATACAGGAAGCTGTAAAACTTAAGGAGCTGGACAGAAAAAAAATGGTCAGAGTTTTCTTAGTCAAACAGTTTTATCAGTTAAATTGCTGCCATGACCTGACAGCAACATCTTGTAAATTAACCTGCTACAGTGTCTAAGATAGGTTCATGAAGATGAGATCATTTTTCCATTTTTTGCAATAATATAGTCTGATTAAATTGGCCACTCTGTTTATTCACCTGTATGCTGAGTAAAACAGGTTCTATTTTTAAAGTGAATGTTTATGGCTGGTGACGGATTTTCAGCTTGTTTTCACCAATCGCCCATGTAGGTGACCATCCAGTCCTTTTAAATATATCTGATTATGTATGGAACTCAGATTAGAACACAAGCCGCATGTTTGACACCATGTGCAAGCTAACATGTTGGCATTATGGACACGGGGTGCCCGTCAGCAGAGGTTAAAAGTAATTGACCTGCTGGAGGATAAACAAGGACTTTTTCCTGGCACTCGCTCCTCTTGCCTGAAAGTATCTCTACAAGGTTTTATTCTGCATCGTATGCGTTTGCCCGGTCCCTATTTCTTGCTTCTGCTCCTCAGGGCTGGGGTAGTACAGGACCTTAAATATTATTTGATTAATATTCCTGTAATATTCTTTAGTACAGTTGGACACTTAAATGATAAAAAGGGTGTTCAGGGTGTGAGCGATTAAAACGTTTGACCTGCCATGATGAGAAGTATCAGTGTCAGGGAATAATACAGATTCATGTATATCCATAATTAACAGATACGAAACAAGATCAGAAGAACTCTACAGTGGCAAATACAATGGCAGGAAGAAAGAGAGACAGACAAGACACTGCAAGCAATAGCCTAAAGAAATGGTTACCAATTGTGGTTACTTGATGGGTAAGTCCTAATACTTTCAGGAGTCAAGGAGAATGAGAGCGTCGGCGAAGCTTAAGAGAGTGAAGCAGGTTTTACTTTACAAGAGAGAGGGAGATGTAAACTGGTGCCGGTTCGGCAATCAATAGTTAGCCTAGATAACAGTCAGTGATGTATTATGATTTCAATTGAAGAGTTACAAGAAAAATATAGCTTTTGGTGTCAATTATATTAAGAAAATCTGAATTGGCCAAAATCAAAATCAGTAGATCAGACCTTGCAAAATCAGAAATTGGAACAGGCCAAAGAAGTTTCAGTCAGTGCATCCCTAGGTGTTTGAGTTGTCATAAAGCCTAAATGTCACATTAGCATAGTTGACTCTGCTGAGTTGATTTGTTCATGTCTACATATATGTCAGAGACTATATGCACATCAGATTATAGTGAGCACCAGAGAGAGATGTCATAGACTGTAAAACTCTGAATGAAAAACAAAAAAAACACCCCAAAAAAAAAATCAATCTTAAACTAGAATAACAATTAGATAGAAAACACAATGGGCCATCTGTGTTCTTTTGTCCTTTGATTCTTTATGTTCACTCAACCCTGAAGACAATGAACATTCTCCACTGCTAAACTCATCAGGTTTGTTTGATTCAGTGAACCACTGAAACATAAAGGGTAGGAAGAGATTTGCAAGTGTTGGTTCCCGTTGAAGGACGAGAAATTGAATCGAAAGACAATGAAACCATCCAGGAAGAAGATGACAGTCATGACTCTTTACCCTGAACAAAAATGTCACAGCAGTGGATCATCTTTCCTTACAGCTTGTGTCAGGGAAGGATTGTGGGCCATTCCAGATAGACAAGTCCTGAGACAAAGTTTCCTTTCAAAGGCAACATTTAAATCAATTTTTATAATAATTGCTGACATTTTGCTAGCTCTGATTAACATTTCAACTGATAATTTATGTGGGGGGCATTCATCCATCCACCCATACAACCTTACATGAACGATAAAATCAAGCAGCAACCCCCTGTGTTCAAAATGAAGCCTATTCTGACATGAAAAATACTGCAGTCCCTAGAGTGTCCACTTGAGGCTTCCCGCAAAAGCCAAGAAATGCCCTTTATTACAGCACAAATAAACACGTTTAAAGCTGGTTCAACAAAAAAAAAAATCAATAGCTAATTTCTATATTAGGCAACGGGTTAGGGTGAATTTATTAAAAACTTGTGCGTCTTGATGTTATCAGGCATAAGAGTTATTCAAATATTTGCTTAATTATGGGCTTGGCTGAATTGACTGACATGTGGTGCCATTGTAGTTGTTTGCCAGGAGGCTTAGGGCCTCCTTACCATATCTGTTTCTAGATTGAATGAAAGTTAGGTAGAGATAACATTTCAAATATGGGGATCACCATCATTTAGATTCATAAAGCCTCTTCAGAATGCTCAGGAGCTTTCTGGTGACATCACTGAGTGTATATCCATGTTATATACAGTCTATGAATACAACAAAATGTTTGTCAGTGTCTTACAGCTCAAGAAAATTATAATGGGCAGTTCACAGACCTATCTAAAAACTGCTCATTTAACGGATGAAGAGGGGAATAATGTTGATGCAGCCCATGTCACTGGATTGTGTAGTATTTACTGTATTAATATGCAGGAAGGACTAACCATAAAAAAAATGCTTGCCACTTTGACGTAATAGAAGCCACAGAAATCAGAGCCGGTGCCAACATAAACATGACCACCACCTTTGACCTTATTCTGTCGCACGTGTCGACCGTGACATGTTTCTAAATGTCCACAACACTTAGTGCCTGACCTTAAAGCTAATGCTACAGCAAACAAAACGGCTGGCCTGTTAAAGAAAACATGGAAGCAGAGTGCAAGTGTAGTTCAAAGAGGGTATCAATGGGTCAAATCCTCTGCCGTTTCCTGGAAGTGAATACTCCAGTCTGGGATTAATCCTGATGAACCAGACTACCACAGATCATGATGACTGT